TCCGTGCGCCTTGGTGTCTAGTCATGCCGGCCACATGACCACGGAAACGTCTTCGGACAGCGCTGGCTCTTCGACTTTGAAACGGAGATGAGCACAGCAGCCCTAGAGTCGGATTCGACTGGCTTTCGAGCAAGGGAGCCTTTACCTTTAATCAAATATATATATATTTACTTTACTTGCACCATTGGCCTTGGCTTTATTTTTAATCTCCTTATGATTGGTGCTGCCCTTTTATTTCCCCCTAACTTTATAGGTATTCCATTTGGGGAATGCCATGCTCTTTAAGATTTTTAGGTTGGCCACCACAAAACTATAGCTGTGTGTGTGTGAAGTGCCATCAAGTGGCAGCCGACTTGTGGTGACCAATGTTCCCTCTAAGCTATGGAGTCTTGTGAGCAAAAATTCTACTTGGTGAGCTACTGGCATTAAAGTTGTGAGCAGGCGATTTGGCTGCCGCATAAACTGGTTTGCTCTGGAGTCATTCCTCCTGAGCTAAGACAAAAATGTGTGAGCCGGAGGCTCAAAAACCGTGAGCTAGCTCACACTAACTCAGCTTAGAGGGAACATTAGAGCAACTTACCCTCCCTCTTCTCCTGCCTCCTCCTGGCTGAATGAGGGCCGGAAGCAGGGTGGCCGGAAGCAGGGGGCGGGGCTTCGTCATGTGCCCCACCCCCGTACCTCACCCGGGGGAACTGCGATCCCCCCCAAAATGACCTCTGGTTAGTATTATGATATTGTATAAATGATGAACAGCTATTGTTTAAATTATGAACAGTTATTCAGCAAGTATACAAATGTTTTCTCATGAGCATCAGCTAGAAGCCTTTGTTCGTATGTCAGTATGATTGACGGATCAAAGAGGCAAGATCTTAGTGACTGAAAAATGATGTATCTCCATAGCAGATACTTCAAAATGGTCACCCAAAGAAGCCATTTTTACTGTGAAGTCTGATTCAAGCTGCTCATGTAGACATTTGATCAGAGAAAGTTCAACGAATTGTAACTTTGCCCACAATTTGTATTATCTAAATAAATATGCCTTCTTTCTCTTACTTCTTTACAAGGACTTAACCTTGTAAAACTATATAACTTGCATGAATAAGTCATTATCAAAGGGATGTATTTAATATTTTATGTTGGAAATAACATTGTGGCTTCATGTAAATATCCTTGTATTTCATATCTGAAATGCTCCGTGGCGAAAGTATTTTATTTCGCATTTGAATGAAGTTTGTTGATGCATTTTGCATTTTTTAAAAGCCGAATTACGAGAATTCTCCTGGAAACATTGGAAGCCGGTCTATTTATGAGCTAATATTTCTTTCAGTATTAGGATATATGGGGGGAAATTGTGCCTTGCAAAGGTACATCAGGAGGCTGTGCATATTGGCAGGAAAGTAGCTTGCAATTCTGCTTATCCTAAGTTATAGTATCAATCTGGACTGAGTCACTTATGAGAAGATGTATAAAAGGTTGGGGTTGTTTTTTTTTTGGTAGATGAAAACTTTAAAAAAATATTTTAAAAGTTTTTCAGTGTCAGGGTTGGATTTCTGTCAGTGGAAAACACAGCCTTTAACAAAAAACATACTGTTGCTATAGTCTTTCTCCCTTCTGGAAATACAATGTATTATGAGCTTGCCTAGCAAGGGAATAGTCATCGGCTTCTCTTTATATTGATAATGGCTTCTCTATGAGTATCCGTTTATGACACTGGTAATTAATTACTGCCAGACATTTGCTACGACTCTGCTGCTACACTAATATTGTTATAATTACTCTCTGGGTGCTGTATCAGTTAACACTTCTGCTGTTTGTCAAGGCGCGCAGAGGCTTGAAACGGCATTCTTCCAAATGAAAAATGTTATTAGTTATAACCCATAAATACTGCATCCCAGATAATGTCCCTGTAAAAGAGTGCAATCCATCATGTTTCTCATTAGAATGCAATTTGCTGCTGCCATTAAATTACCCATTACAGTAAGAGCAGAACATTTTGCCATGCTGAGCAACATTACTTTTGGCAACAATCCAGAGAGATGTGAGGAGGACAGGGACTGTTTTTCCACAAGCTTTGCAATGAATTTACTACCCGTCAGTTTCTTCTGGGCACCCTCGTTTCCACAAACTTTAAGCTCCACAATAGTGTTTTGGTTTTCTGCAGTCCTGCGCAGGCAGCTAAAACAGAAGGCTTACTGAGCCTGAGCAAAGCTAACATGCCTGGTGTATGCGTGGTTTGGGGTTGTGTGTGTGTGTGTGTGTGAAGGGACATCAAGTCGCAGCCCACCTCAAGTGATTGAGCAGGCCAGTGATTAAGGAGAGGTGGTTTGCCCATTTCCCTCATCTGCAAATTCTTCCTCGGTGGTCTCCCATCCAAGTGTCAACCCTTCTTAGCATCCAAGATCTGACAAGATTGGGCTATACTCTCGAAAGCTTATGCCTGGAAAATCTTGTTGGTCCCTAAGATGCTACTGGATACTTACGTCCGTCATTTGTGGCACATGGAAGTTCTGAAATAAATCCAGAGTTCACTTTTTGCCCAATTAAAAACCCAAAAGTGATTCTTCTTCACCAAATGTGAGCAGCCCACTATCTGTTTATAGGCTGAGTTCAGGTTGGCAGTTTGAAGCGGGAGGAAGTCGTGGCAAAAAAGAGCCAGAAGAACAAACTGTTCCGGGTTTTCCCGTTCACACTGCAGCGACTGATGTGGGAGCATACCAGGAGGAGGCATAAGGGAGCATTCACACCTTTGGTCCGGAGGCACAGCTGTAAGGCATGGCTTTCTTTTTGGTAATCTGGAGAAATGTGCTTATGCGTATATGCGCATGAGCGCATAAGAAAAACGCGGCTTTTGGCATTCACACTTTGTTGGTGCGGGATGGACGCGGGATAAACGCACTTTCCAGGGTTTGCTACCACTTTCACCAGGTATCTTTTAAACGCAGGAGCGAAGCGTTACAAGACGGGTTGAGTACAGGTGGGGAACACCTGACAGCTTTGCCTGTGTGAACGGCCCCTTTAATCCGGTTGTGGAACGTTTCTGAAACGTGCCTATATCGGGGCAAACTGCCAGTTTGAACTCGGCCATAGTTCAGACAGAGCTGGATATGTACACAGGTAAGTAAACTATAGTTTAGATTATGAGGAGGCTCTAAAATTAATAAAAACCACACAGTTTAGGGCCTCAGTGCAAATGAGTCAACCCAGGCCTTGACAGTGGGCACTTACCTTTCTCAACGACTCCAAACCCTGGAGGGCATTTTGTGTGCCTCGCGCAGTATTCTACGTTAAAGTACCGCCCTTCAACACATTCACAGATACGCTTCTGGGTACTGGTGCATTCTTGCCGCACAAACTGCAGCTCCTGGCACACCGCACTGCACCAGAAGCATTCGTCATCGAAGTTCCAGTCATCTTCATAATGGCCTTCTGGGCATGGCGCACACACAGTCTGTGATGTCGCAGTGCAGGGCTTTTTGACATAAGTCCCAGCAGGGCACTGGTCACACAGCAGTTGGAGTCCCGTCCTGCGGTCGTAATAGGGGTGCTTGGGAGGAATGGTCTCCGGAACAGTCCATTTCACAGAGATGTCCAGCAACTAATAGAACAGATACAAAACACATTTCTTTTGGCTTGGTTTCAAGATAACAGTGATGGCTTCTAGAAGTAATATTTTAGGGTCACTTTAATTTTACTTTGGGATATTTAAAATAATGTAAGATTCTTAAAATACATTTGGGGATTAAAAGTTGGGGAGGGTACATTACAAATAAAATTACATGATTATCAGCATGGAAAATATGCCCACATTAGAATTAAAACAGAAAATGTATACTGATTGATGCACATACTGATTATGTGCAAGCACACGCACACGACATGTGTGCATTTTTATGTGAGTAACCCCTTTTCCAGGTCCTGGTATGTGTGTTACGTACTGTCAAGCCAATTTATGGCAACTCTATGAATTAATGTCCTCCAGAATGTCCTATTGTTAACAGCCTGGCTCAGGTCTTGCAAACTGAGGGCCGTGGCTTCCTTCATAGAATCAATCCATTTCATGGCGGGTGTTCCTCTTTTCCCATTGCCTTCAACTTTTCCTAGCACAAGTTCTAACAGGGCTATTTTTGGGCAGGAACGCACAGGAACGGAGTTCCGTCTGGCTCCCAAGTTGGCCACGCCCAGCAGGAACTCATTAGCATAATAGGCCACACCCAACAGCAGAAATCCATTAGGATTGGCTTCATTAGGGGTGTGTGGCCTAACATGCAAAGGATTTCCTCGCGTGTGACTGGGGCCTAAAATGACTAAACCGAGGCTGTCATATTTTGATAACATCACGATAAGAGTCACTGGAAAAGACAATAACGGCTGCGGGCACACGGGCAGGAAAATGCGGGGGGGGGAGCGTGGCTGTTTGCCCCGGGGCTAAAAAACGCGTGGTTATGCGAGCAGACCTTCCATGGAGGTCTCATGGCAGGGGGGACTGCCGATCACTCCACAGTCCTGCAGCGCGGCAAAGAAGCGGGGCGCGGGCGAACGGGATTGGAGGGTTTTTTAACTCAAATGTACGCATGCTCCCTTGGGTGCTTGTGCGCATCCGTGGAGACTTTGAAAAAAAAAACCCTTTTTGCGAGGGGACATGGGGGGGCACCGGAACTACCACCGGAAATGCGATCAGACGCCCGCCCTTGCCCCACGGTTTCAGGAAACTAGTACCTCCGAGGTACTAGTTTTTTACCTCGCATCTTCCGCGGGAAGCCTCGGGTTCCCCACGGGAGCGCGACACTTCCCAAATGTGGCGGTGAGATCGCGCCCAGAAAATCCGCCTATCTTCCGTCCCTCTAGCGTGCCTAATGCTCCGTGTGACCGCAGCCAACGCTAGGAAAAGTTGAAAGCAGCAGGAAAATAGGAAGAGCCAACATGTGATGGATTGAGTCAATCAAGGGAGCCGCGGCCTTCAGTTTCCAATACCCAGAGCAAGGCTGTTGTCAATGATAGGATGTTTCGGAGGTCACTAATTCATAATGTCTCTGTAAACTGGAAGCAATTTGATGGCACTTAACACACACACACACAAAGACACACCAAAGCAACGATAGGCTGCTTTTTGCCTGATCACATACATTGCTCATACATGCAGGAGTCACCACATATCAAACTGAAAATAAGTTGCACATGAATTTGGATGTGGGTGTAGTTTCCAGCTGGCAGCCCATGGACCACATTCAGCTTTCAGTGCCGAGGTACCTGCTTCCCACCATAGTGATCCTAGTAAAACATTAGTTATGAGGTGATAAAAGAAAAAAAAATTACGCCATTTCACTCTGATAGAAAAGGAGCAGTTCGACTCCTTAAGAGCCAGTTTGGTGTAGTGGTTAAATGTGTAGACTCTAATCTGGGAGAACCAGGTCTGATTCCCCAGTCCTCTACTTGCAGCTGCTGGATGACTTTAGGCAAGCCATAGTTCTGTCAGAGCTGTTCTCTCAAGGACAGTTCTCTCAGAATTCTCAGCCCTGCCTACCTCAAAGGGTGTCTGTTGTGGGGAGGGAAAGGAGTTTGTAAGCCACTCTGAGACTCCGAGTGAAGGGTGGGGTATAGATCTAATCTCTTCTTCTTCTTCTTTCCTCAGAACTCTCTCAGCCCCACCTGCCTCACAAGGTACCTGTGGTGGGGAGAGGCAGGGAAAGGGGACTGTAAACTGCTTTGAGACTCCTTAAGGTAGAGGAAAGCAAGGTATACAAACCTACTCTTCTTCATGTTATTTCATATATATTTTATTGTATTACCGTATGCATATTCTGGGCAACACTGTTAGTCTTTAAGGTACAACAGGATGTTAGCTTTATTTTGCTACAATAGACTAACATAACTACCCCTTTGCGATCACATCTTAGTTTCAGGTGGTTAGCCGTGGTGGTCTGCAGTAGAAAAGCAGGACTGGAGTCCAGTAGCACCCTAAAGACCAACAAGGTTTCCAGGATACAGGACTCCAATCATGTTTTACAGTGCAGTCCTAAGGATGTATGCTCAGAGGGCTCTTTTTGTAGCAGGAACAGCGTTGCATATTAGGCGACACACCCCTAATGTAGCCAATCCTCCAAGAGCTTACAGTAACCCCTGTAGGAAGAGCTCTGTAAACTCTTGGAGGATTGGCTACATTAGGAATGTGTCACCTAATATGCAAAGGAGTTCCTGCTACCAAAAGAGCCCTAACTGTGCTTAACTGTGCTTAACACTGAGGTCTTAAAAAGTACTGCTGTGTAGGCTGAAGATACCATACAACCTGAATGTTCCTACAGAGTATTTTGAGGTATGGGATAATAATAGACACAGGGTTCCACGGCAGGTGTGCAGAAGTTCTTTGGCAGACCAATTAATGGAGGGAGAGCTCTCTGAAGACAGGAAGTTGGAAAACCTTTGCTGTGAGACATGCCAAGCACCTCTCCGGAGAGAAGCTAGGACAGAATTAAAATGACTTTCATATACCCTTCAGCGATATTATACGGCCTGCAGAACATTGATGGGCTACGCTACGGGGCTGTGACATTTCTGTTAAAAGCAATGCTTGAACAAGAAAACAAAGAGGGCTGCACCAGTCCCCAAGAGGCAAGAAGGCAAGGCCAAATGCCAACAGGACAGGGGAAGGGGAGTAAAAATTTGTTATATAGATTCTAAAAAAAAATAAATGCCCTCTGCATTTCACATATAGCTTCATTAGGGGATCTCTGAGAACATGTTTATCTCTAGCATTTCCCCACATCTGCTGAGATCACAGAGAGTAAAACCTGTGTGAGGAAAAGCTATGCTTGAACATTTCTATATGTTCTCATGCTTTTCAAAAAAGAAAAATCTAGAGGAGGTTTGTACAGCCTCTATTTTTTTTTTTGCGAAAGAGGAATTTAAAAGGGAAATTAAATTATGCCCTGTCTGTTCTGTGATCTTCAAATAGCAGGCAAAGAGCTGTTCGCTCCAAGCTCCCTGTGGCGGAATGGGCCTGCTCCGGCCTGCAGGCCCTGTTCCACCCTACCCTCCAAGGCTTTCTCTCTCAGATAATCCCCATTGCCACCTGACCTTTGTAAGGAATTGCCCGCTGGGGGTGTGTGTGTCAGGACTCCCAGCTTCCCTTCCAAATTCTGAGGACTGCCTCTGTGTCTTTCGGTGCCCAGTGCCTAGGGCTGCCAAGTGGGGGTGGGTAAACCCCCGCTTTGGAGGCCCGATTTCTGACGCCGTGGAATCGGGCCCCAGGGGGAACCGCACCCCTGAGTGCGCATCACCAGGAAGTGACGTGGGCATGCTGGGCACACTGGGGGCGGGGCCACGGCCATACAAGGGAAAACTCTATGGTTTTCCCTTGTATGGGCGTGGCCCTGCCCCCAGCGTGCCTGGCGTCCTCCCGTCATTTCCAGGTGATGTGCGTGTGGTGCGTGCACACTTCGCGCGCGCACCGGATGCTGGCCAGGAGCCCCCCGCTCCCGTTGAAGATACACTTGGCAACCCTACCAGTGCCTGGTCACCATGGGGACCATTTACTGCCTTGTGCACCCCTGCAGGAATAGCCCCTTGCCAACAGACTGCCTTTCCCCGGCACTCCTTTTAAAATAGCATGTCCAAGACGGTTGAGGTCTATGTGTTACAGAGAACCACTACCAGCATCAAAAGTTATAAAGTATTTATTAAAAAGAAAATGTTCACAAGCATACGTTTAGCACAGCAGCAGACTGAGCAAGGGAAATGGGTAAAACACAATTCCTCTGTCCCTCTCTCTATACATGCTGTATCGCACAGGTGTCAAACTAATTTATTATGAGGGTTGGCTCTGACATAAATGTCACTTTGTCAGGCCAGGCCATGTGTGCCATAAAATGTAACACAAGGTACCAGAGATATAAACTTTATAAAGATGATTTAATAGCAGGCTTGATTGGATTAGGTGTGATATACAGAGGGGTAGTAGGCATGGAGTTATCAGCAGTGTTCCCTCTAAGCTGAGTTAGTGTGAGCTAGCTCACAGTTTTTTAGCCTCTGGCTCACACATTTTTGTCTTAGCTCAGGAAGGATGGCTTTAGAGCAAACT